CGAACGTATCGTGTGGAAGTTTACAACCAAACCAGATCATTACATTGAGAAATGACAGCTGCAATACCTGGATCAAAAACCACTTCGTATGCGAGATTATACTTGTACAGTGACAAGGATTTTTTTCCCGTTCCTTGAACAATGTTGAATTGGCATTTCTGTTGTCTCATTTCAATAAAATGGTGTCTTCAGATTTAAATAAAATGATTTACTAGAGGAATGTAGGTATCATACATGTACATGTACATTGATGGAACTATATATAATAGTTTGTCACAAATTTTAGGATAAAGTGTAGAAATATGATTCCACTTACAGAATTGTAACTACATGTTGTGTATTTTCCACTAAAGTTAAAGAATGTTCTTAAGAATTTCCATTTTCGGTGAATAGAATCTAGATAAATTCAATTAAGGTTATGATTAAACTGTTGTTTACTTTATTCATTTTCTCTGGTACTTACAGATGCTACATGTTTGGGCTATTATTAATTCCCTTATACTGTTTGAGACCAAGAAAAGAGTCGCAAAGGTAGAAAATGGCTCGAATAAACGGATAAAACGAAAGTATATTGAAGGACCTATGCAATTTCTATGAGACTACTTCACTTTAGATGGCCGACTAACAAGCCATCAATATCACGTCATGTCTTACTTAGTTGGATGTGATATTTTGAATATCAAACTGGCACTTCGTGCTCTCCGCACAAAGACATAAAATTTCCACAAATGCCTCTCAATGGTATCTGTATTTACATAATAACTTGCTCTATTAAAGGTCATGATGATTTTAAGAAAAGAAAAGTTTGCTTAACTTTTCACAAAAAAATCTTACGATAAAAATTGATCGTAAGTTATACTGAAATGTGTATGACTTACGAGTAATTTTACTCTTAAGATTTTTTTGTGAAAAGAGCCGCCGGTCCTTTACCGTTGATTTTCGTTGATTGTTGATAATAAAGTGACGCTTTTAGTCCCCCGTTATATCGAAAATGAAATTTTGGTTAAGAGATATTTTGTCGATAATAATAGAATATATGCCTAGCCGAACTGTAACCCAAATTCTATAGACTTTGAAAGACCAGGAAAGTATCACTGTCATTTTAGCGGTCCCCGGTAGTCCAACTATGTATCTAGAAATTGACAATGAGGGTCGGTTGAAAACAAAACTTTACGACAAAAGAGATGATTTCAGCTTCCCAATTGTGAACTTTCCATTTTTATGAAGCAACATTCCAGCGGCGCCTGCATACGGGGTATATATATTCCAGTTCATACGATATTCCAGGGCTTGTATTACCTATCATGATTTCCTTGATAGAGGGTTGCTGCTCACAAGGAAGCTTTTAAACCAAGACTTCCAAGTAGTGAAGTTGAAATCATTCCTTGGTTTTACAGACACCTGAGATCACCTCTTGTTTTGGGTGGGGTTCGTGTTGCTCAGTCCTTAGTTTTCTATGTTGTGGTTTGTGTACTATTGTTTGTCTGTTGGGCTTTTTCTTTTTTAGCCATGGCGTTTCCAGTTTATTTTCGACTTATGAGTTTGAATGTCCCTCTGGTATCTTTTTCCTCTCTTTTTCCACAAAACCCCTTGCAATTATGGATTTATTTCGTCTTCAAACCATGGTTCCACTACTCAACTGTCTATTCTTCTTACTAGTACACTTGGTACAATAAAAAAACCTGGTAATAAAATTTTCAAATGAGGTCTACGAAAATAGTGGAATTAATTACTTTTGGATGTCAAAAATTCGTTGAAAGTACTTGATAAATCACATGCACATATTGGTGCTTTCGAATCTGTTCAAAGTTTAGATTTTTCTACCCTATATCACAATTAAAAGGGCATTTAAAAAGTCAGAATGCGAATATATATGTTCAAACACTTTTAGGTCATTTTTTTAGTAACAACACATAAAAGAACTATGTCAATTGGACCTGCTTTGATATGATAACTGCACTCGAATTTTTACTGGATAACAATTTTGTTCGCTTAAGAGATTCTGTATTTTGCCAAGTTATCGGAATTCCAAAGGGAACTAACTGTGCACCACTTATTGCAGACCTGTTTCTGTATTGTTACGAATAACAATTTATGATTCAAATCAGCAAAGACCGATTGAAACAACATCTGATACAGTTTAGATTTTTGGATGATATATTGGCTCTCAATAATGACGACTTCAGAATGTACTCTAAAGAAATTTTTTGTGTTGAACTGACAAAGTACAACAATGTCGATATCCACCTCAAAAGCTAACCAAACCTTTAAACAGACTTATTGAGAGGGGATATAGTACGATACTGTTATAATAATAATAAAATATGCCATTTTGGGAATTAATATTGATTCACTCACAGGGTCATTGCATCTGAAATAAACACATTTATTCTAAAACCAGTTGTTGGTATGATACGGGTATGTTCTTCTCGTATACTTATGATGGCATGATACTAAACCCCTAACGGGAGGGATTGTGCTTGATTTTCATATGACGATGACATAATCTTTCGATCAGATTAACTGAGGTCTGGCATGTCAGTAACTGCTAGTAGTCCTTTGTTAATTCATGTTATTCTTTGTCAATTTGCTTAGATTAATCTGTTACTTATTCTAATATCGAACTCGTACTTATCTTAAATTGAGTTTTACTGTGCGTACTGCTTTTTATTTGTTTATTCCACATTGGTTAGAAATATAGGGGGATGGTTGAGATCTGACAAAACCTGCTAAACACCGCCGCATTTTTGCGGCTGTTCCAAGTCAGGAACCTTTGACCTTTGTTAGTGTTCTATGTTTTTTTTTATTGGGATTCATTTATATGTTTCGGAGTTTAGTAAGGGCGTTCAATTCGATGAACTACTATACATTATTTTTTAGGGGTCAGCTGAAGCCCGACTCCGGTAGCGGGATCTTCTCGTTGCGTTGAAGACCCATTGTGGCCTTGGGCTGTTTTTTTGCTCTATCGGTTGTTGTGTCTTTGACACATTCACCGTTTTATTCTCAAATCTATTTTGTAATAGACATACCAGAAAACGGGAGCCATGAGCTAGAGATCGGTTTTTAATTAGATTGATGAAACATTAAAAATTATAATCGGGCACATTTAATCAAATTGTACGAGAAAGCATTAGCTGATGCATCTAAGCTCATTTAAGTTCATTAAGTGTAGATTTGTACCTTATAAATGACGTGATATGTTAAATTATGTGTTAGTAACAAATAATATTCGCGCTTTTATTGAACATAGTGGAGGGTATGGATGGAGTTTACAGAATAGAATAGTATGGGCAAAAGGTGCGGAATAAAGGGGGAAAATAAAGAAAAGAGAATCATTTGGTGTTATAATATTAAGAATAGAGAATAAGGGACAAAAAAGATTAAAAAGCGGAGCCCTCCAACCGGATTATCATGTAGCCACACGCCCTCTGCTACTACTGTTACGTTCTTGGAAAATAAGCAAAAATAATTCATCATGCAGCAGTAGACTTTAAAGTTTAACGTTGGATTAAATGATGAGTGCTAATATCCAGCAGAAAGTATTACATATGCATATTCATGACAACAATTATTATAAATACATGTTTGTTTCATATTATCTGCCTCAATACAATGAACCCGGTTTTGTACTAGACGGGCATGATGTGTAGAGGTTCTAACGTGATAGCTTATGGGCTGCTAGTTAGCACAAAAACGCATCATCTTAAAGGAGCATATTTAAACTGTCAGCGACTGTTTTTTTTTTCTTACCCCAAAGTACTGTCTTTTAAACAGATAATTTCGCCATCTGTATTTAATTCACTCACAGAGTGGAGTTCTAAAATATTTGTTACCAAATTTACATTACTTTCCTGAACTAAAAATTCTACTCAGCGATATACATGTTGCTGTTGAATTCATTTTGATACACATTTAGTGTATGCACCCCCCCCCCCCCCCTGTCCAAAAAAAATCCCCCAAAAACAATAGCACTGGGTTTGTATTGATGTCCGTAATTGCAGCTCGAAAAGATGGAGGACTGAAAGTTCGGTTAAAATATCTTCTTAAAATTCGCATGCATGAACATTTTTCTTTGTTTATAAGCGAATATCCAGAACCTGAACAATACTGGTAAGTATCTCATGCAGAAGGTATCTGTTGATGTTAATGTTAATGCTAAAAAAATTGGGGTGATGTCCGTAACGTGAAATAATAAAAAAAAAAAAATGTCAATGGTGTCCGTTACTGATAACATTTCATAACTCGTAAACGAAGCCTTCAATTATTATGATGATATAAAGCAATTAGATAATCATCATAATTTTTAGAGAAACAATAAAAATGGTTGCCTAGTGATTGATATTATAAACATTAAAAGCAACTTTTTTTTTAGCAAAGTGAACTATTTTCAAAATTCACAAATTTCTGTAAAAACCCTCAAATCCGGTGAATGAATATTCAGATACCCACTAGCACATTAAGAGTTGACTGTGGTGTTGAAATAAGTCACATGGATTACTTCAATTCGACACTTACACCCTTGCTAAAGAAGGCATCCGTTTAGCTGAGCGGAATGCGTAAATACGCATCCCCGTCTGGTAGAAAAAGAACGTAATATCCAATGTCCTGTGTAGGGAGAGTGCCACACACTCTGCACGTTAAATAAGCCTTGCAAACAATCTTTACTGGGTCCGTAGTCGGTCTGTTACAGGCAAAACTTCTGTTCCTGACGTGTGATCAGTTTAAGCAGTAGTCTAAATATCTGTCCCTATTCCATATACCCTCATTTTCCAGTGGCATTCCAAATTTCCCGCCCTTCGTCCCGATTAATCCTTTTTTGCAGGACCTAACTTTTATTTGTTTATTGTTAATAGTTTCTTGTCCTGAACATGCATGACATTTTTCCCACTGAACGCAAAGCAAACAACACACAATGAATCAATCTAAATTTCCCAATCACATCCCTGTCAAAAACATTGCAAAACCTATACCTATTGGTTTCATTATAAACATACATGAGATATTTGTCAATTCTGTATTTAAAGAGATGGCAGTATTTTTTACAGTTGGATTAACTAGTGTATTTCAGAGTAAACATCTGAATGTTCTGTTATTACTGTCTATTAAATTTCAAATTTAAAGAAATAAACTGTTGCGTCTTGTACATAACAGTCATCACGTTCGGTACTTAACAGACAGACGATGTAGATGGTAAACCACAATCTAAGACGTGGTAAAAACGTCGTTAGTTAGTTTAGACACATACACATCGTATAAATCAACCAATTCCTCCTCATAACTCTGTTGGAGCAGATTCTTCGTAAGGAGTACACTCCTGTATATGAAGTCCGTATAGTGTGATGGTGGTAAAATGTCGCATTCTGGAATCTGATGACTTAAAGCCCAGGACTTCCAACGTCGAAAACCATAAAAATAACTGTGTTGGTTGCTTTAGATTCGGTATGCAATCAGGAATCAAATTCAAATTATTCAACTGTTTGTCCGGTAAATCAGCTATTTCACGGTTAAAATCCTGAAAAAAACATAAATATAACATAAATTTTTGGATTTAACATTTCGTTCATTTAATTTTAATGATTACTACTCTAAAATCATAAATGTTGCATAAATACTGCATAGTAAAATTACCAACATAAATAATTGAATTTAGATTCAACCTAAACATATGCAAAAGCATGGATGAATAAAAGTAAATGTAAAAAGTAGTATATATTTGTACAAATGTTGTATGATACATAATGTTCATGAAAGGGTAACCTCACTTCACAGGTTTACAGAAGATTATATTTTTTTTTTTTACAAATAGCACCTTATCTTTATTCCCTATCATCATTAGAGTTGATCTATTAGTAATTATTGAATGATTTGCACTGTACAACCCTTATTTAAATTGTAAAAAGACATCCAAGGTCAGTAAGAATGATGGTCTTACTTATTGATTCCATATACCTAGTTGATAAATAAATTAAATATATGTGTGCTCAAATATTAAACAATCATTGGGTGTTGGCACTTAAATTATTTTGTTGTAGGGGTGAGCAGCTGAGGTGTCATACCCTGTCATATATTGTTTTGATAAAAAAGACCATTAAAGCTTAATTACACTATTTCATGGAGAATAATAAAAGATTACATAATTAGGAATATCAAGCATAAGATAGTTTATTGACTATGATATAATCATATATTTAATCTTAATTTCTCAACCTTAGCATATGTTATGTTGCTTATGATAATAATGACACATTGGAGTTGTTGACTCCTGACACTCATCACAAAGTAAGTCCCCGATCCCTAAATACTTTGATTTTAATGCAAAACTTTGAAGGAAAAAAGGTGGTACCGCATAACCTCCACCTTTGTAGCTCCACAACGCTTAGCAGGTATGATACATGTATAACTGTATCGTATTCAAATACATCCTACAGCTATTACATATCATACAATCATGTGTATCAACGTGTAAAGATGACCTCAGTTGCCTAGTCGACTACGTGTTCCATCTGCAATGATCACTAGTCTGTCAACTGAAGTTTGTGAACTTAAACTCTCCCAGTGGCAGATGCATAGTACTAGTAAAAACCGATGGTTGTTTTTTTGTACTCTAGGTTCTTCCAACAAAAGAAATGGCAACATTGAAATAGGCAAGAGTCTTAAAGGCGGTGTTAAACACCACAAATCAATCAACGATCAATGAGCATAATCATTGTAGATCGTCTTGCATGTATCAATGTTAATCTATCAATTCCATGGAATTATATGGGAAATAGCAAATTACAGGTATACATCAAAATTCAAATATATATTACTTGTACTACTATACATTAAGAGAGAAAACATTTCCATTGTGATTACTGGGGTCCAAATTTGAGGCTCTTACGTGTGTAAAAATGATCAAAATGATCTTAAATTAACATCATTCCTGTTTCAAAGGATGTTGAACTCATTAAAGAAGGAAAATCCCTAGCGACTACATTTTTCTTATCGAATTCTAAGTTCTTATGTACATGCTATACACTGATATTTTTTTAGTTTTTCAATGAGTTAAAGGAATGGTCATAACTGTAATTATAAGGACACCTGTCTAGTTTTTAAAATTAACTAATGTCTTGTAGATTAATATTGGTTATCTATATCGTTAGATTGCTGTCTTATTGGCGTGAATCTAACAGGCTATATTCGAATAACCATGTATTTTGCGGTAGTTGTGTCAGACTCTGCCTTTGATTCTAATTTAACATTTAAGCTTCGGATGTTTATCTCATAGTCTACTTTTATTATTGTGTGGGGTATGTACACTTTGCACTCCATGCTGTTCTACCATTCCAATACAATACATTTTTTACAGTTGGATTAACTAGTGTATTTCAGAGTAAACATCTCCACCACAGCGCTCTATTGACTTATCTAATTATGTAACCAACTATGAAAAATGCAAATTTTTGTAGAAAGTTGCAAACAGATCAATCTCAGTTTGACGACTATTGAGTGAAGAATAATGGTACATGTGGTCTTCATTTTTACCATTTTACATTCAAAAAGGAACTGTATTGGTTACTAAAGACAAATGCGTTTCATTTGCTGTTATGATTGCTGTATTTAAAGCATGCATGACCTGCCATTTCTCTTCTGGCACAAATGCACACTCTGTTTGCACAGTATAAACATAAAGGATTATTTCAGCTCTAAGGATTATTTCACTGGTTATAATTTTTATTTGATTAAGAAGATGTGGCCGTGTGATGCTCCATATACACTGAAAAATGTTTACGTTATAAACTAATATATTTACAGCCTTACACTTCACTCGGTTGCACATAATTCAAATAGCAATACTACGCAAATTTTAAATGACCAAATAAAGAGACGTTTTGATAATACTTCACTCATGATCACGAGGAAAAAGACTGATCGCATCATATAACGAATATTTTAATTTTGAAGTACATTTTTTTGGGGTGTTTTAAAAAGAAATATTTCATATTAATTTTAACAATGTCATATGACCCATCCACATTTTATGTTCGTCAATGTAATTTCACTTTAAATCAATTATAGACAAATGTCACAAGAAAGAAATTACAAATAAAGAGTTAAATAGTTATTGAAATCTTTGTTTGCACATTATCGGTAATATTTGTAATTTTCTACATGTTACAAAAATGTATGCTTGCATTTTTCTAAGTTACAGTAAAAAGAGTATTAAGAAAAATCGTCGTTTCTATTATGTCATTATATTGCCTTTATGATGCTCATTTGTTGGTTCGATATCTTCTACAAGTAATCAGAACTCATCAACGAAACCATGCTTATATTCAATACTCCAGAGTTGCGTTTCGTCTACATAGAACTCCTAAGTAGCGCTAAAATTAAATCAGTTGGAAGACAAAATCATTAACGACATTTGCAAACCAAACTTTCAACTTCATGACAAAATTTCCTATTTCTGAGCACTAACATACTCTCTGCTTCATCGTTTGGCGTTTGCACATATCACTTTATATGTTAATCTCGTCCATTTTAACACATACCTCATTAATGGGGTTGTACTTCTTTCATAAAAAAAAAACAGCGCGAACAGAGTTGTGCGGAATATTGATGATAATTGACACACTACATAAATTTCACGATCACCATCATAAATTGATCGACCGATGCACTTGTCGGTGTCTTAACTCACAAATGACATGATTTTGCGGTCTCATATCTTCAGATTCATATTGTACCAGAAATGTGGTGTGATCTGTAATTTTACTGATGGTGTCCAATGCCCGATTGTGACATTTTGAGCAAGTATTGATTTGCATGGCCGGTGATACTTACATAGCAGGAAACGCTTACCGTGTCGACGCACCCGGTATTGTTCCTTTTGGAATTCATGCGATTCTATCAGTCTTTGCTTGTTCCCTGCTTTCGTGTCTTCTTAATCAGTATATGTGATGTTAAGTGTTTTATGGATTATAATTTTAACTACCCTAGCAATGCACTTACAAATGTAACATAATAAGAACAGACTCACTCTATGAAAAATACAACATTAAGACGATTCTCAGTACTGTACTTTGTTAATCTTATGAAAGTTATGATTTGACATTTTTAAGTTTAATGTTGATTTATATATTTTTGTTTAATCAAAGAGAACTATAAATATATTGTATTGTTAATGCTGTAAAGTGATATTATGTTTACGTATATAATCACGCCATCAGTATCATATAATCGTCCTTGGTAAACGTACATCGCAGTTTTTTTTGTTTTTTTTTGTTTTTATTTAATGACGCACTTGATAAATGTTACGATCAAAATTTAGAACCTTAGCACAGCTTACATATTTTTACATTCGGTTTAAAATGATAGTCCCGTTTCTATTAAGTTGCATCTTTGTTAAATGAAATAGTAAGCTAATATAACCTTCTCAAATTCAGAATTGTGCGGGGTATAACAAAATCACACTTATTTGCAAGTCATGTTCTGTTTATGCATTATACCCCCCCCCCCCCCCCCCCCCCCCCAAAAGAAATAAATACAAACAAACAAAGAAAAAAAAAGGAAAAAATCGCAGTCTTAAAATTTCAGGCCAAGGTTGACAATGTCTTTTCGAGGGCTAAAAATCTGCTCTATCACCCTCTCAGATATGTGTTATTTAATTTAAATTCAAAGTAATAAACTATGATGTCTTGTACTTAACAACCATCTGTATTTAATAAAGCGCGCACTTGATCAAGCGTCTCCGTGAAGGGTAATAGAGTGTTTGCAATGGGATAGAGTAAATTGTCTCCCTCTTATCAACCAATCAAAATCTGACATTTAGACATGAAGTATAATAAAACGCAATATCTAACTGTACTTAGAAAAGAAACATCATAACTAACTACACGAATGTTGGATCTATAAATACCGAAACACGTCGTATAGCATGCGAATTTACAATCGACAAAACAGTCATATTCGGGAATAGGTCACGTTCGGTACTTAGCAGACAGACGATGTAGATGGTAAACTACAATCTAAGACGTGGTAAAAACGTCGTTAGTTAGTTTAGATACAGAAACATCGTATAGATCAACCAATTCGTGATGGTGTCCATAAAATTTACGGAGTGTCATTTTAATCTTTCCTCCTCATAACTCTGTTGGAGCAGATTCTGCGTAAGGAGCACACTCCTGTATATGAAGTCCGTATAGTGTGAACATGCACGAGCATAACGTATAAATTGAGATATGTAAACACCATATGACGGAGCAGAGGGTATGTTACTGCTGAGAAATGGGAAATTAATAATTGGGAAGTTGAAATCATCCCGTTTGTCATAGATTTAAGTGTGAAGTCGTCCATCTGTGTCAATATTAAGGAAAAGATCAAGGTATGAAGCAGTCCTTTAGGTATCAGTAGTATACTCAATTTCAAGTTCACTGGGATATATGAGATGCAAGTACTGACTGAAATATGGGTTAGGACATCATTACTATATCTGAAAGTAAAATTAAAGAATTTCGCAAGGTGCTTTTTCTTCTTGTTTTTTAGGAGGTTCTGAATGAATTCTGCTTCATACGAGTATAAAAACAAATCGGTCAGAAGGGGTGCACAATAAGTACCCATTAGAATACCGACTGTCTGTTGAAATACCAATCCTCCAAACTCAACAAATATATTGTCGATTAAAAAGTCCAACATTTTGATAATATCATCTTCAGTGTATTTTCTGATAGAATCAGTGTGGTTCTTCACAAAATAAGAATTATTATAACCCAAAACAAGAAATTTGTATCTACGATTCCCATTTTTATAGAGATGGTGAAGTCGATCTTTCAATTGAGCATGGGGATTAACGCGTAGAAAAATCAAAGGTCTTGATGTTGCTGAAAAGTTGCAGAGATTGTAATCAAAGATCAGTAGATCTTCAGAATTTTTGAGAATCCACATCTGATTCACACTACTGGTTGAATATATCTCATCACAATATTTTTGAAGGCCATCGTTTACTGTAGAAAGAATAGTAATCAGCACTTTAGAAATATGTTTAGTCGAACATCTTGATGATCCAGCTATGTATCGTTCTTTATAAGGAGTTATGTGAAGTTTTGGTATCTAGTATAATGACGGTAGATTTTCTTCGTTTTCTTTGATGTTAATACCAAAAGAAAGAAGGACAGATTTGTGATTTTGTAAAATTTCATCCTTTGTAAATGATGTTAAAGAATATGTAGGATTACCAGTTTTGCTGTTATTTCCAAGCTCTTTTGTGTGACATTGCAAATAATGGTTTTTTCATACGAAGACAATATTATTGGAGGCTTTATCTGCTGGAATAACGACATATTTGTCATGCAAAGAGGATAAAGCATCCACAACCTCCGGGTTCTTGAATTGGTTAGAAACCCTTGTGCTTATAGTACATCGTAGTTTCTGAATGCGTTTCTGAATGTATGATCGAATAGCTTTGATCCATTCAGACAAAGTGTCCAGTTCTGGTTCGTCTGGTTCGCGCTTTACCCGTTTTCTGGCATGGTCCTCAACTGCATCCATCAGTAACCTGAAGTTCTTTTTCCAGTGATGGGCTGTGGAATTCTATATTTTAATTTTTTTGGCTAATAAATCTCTTAGTTGTTCATTGGTTGCGATGCCAAGGTCGCCAGTAATAACAGCTGGACTATAATTGTATTTTGACGAGACGCATGAGCAATCCGGAGGTTTAGATTTCACATCTTTGAGGCCTCTAAAACCTTCTTGTGGTTGAAAATCTTGGATGCAATAGACTTGGTGTCTTGATGCCAAGGTCGCCAGTAATAACAGCTGGACTATAATTGTATTTTGACGAGACGCATGAGCAATCCGGAGGTTTAGATTTCACATCTTTGAGGCCTCTAAAACCTTCTTGTGGTTGAAAATCTTGGATGCAATAGACTTGGTGTAAGTATATAAAATTACAGGTGTAGCTTTATTTTTGAAGTAATCAGGTATAGTTTTTTTGTACAGATTTCTGGTGGAAAATATTGCTAATATTGATAGCATCTAAACCTCTATTGGCGAATTCTACTTTAAAAAAAAATACGTGTTTCCTCATCGTTGGAAGTATTTGATACGGGTTTGAATAATCTATGGATAGTAAGGTTTTTGAACAGACGATAACATATTATCAATAGTCACGTTGTGAACAGCAGGTGGTGTATAATTTCTGAGACCATGACTTCTATTTCGTCGAGTAGAAGTGTAATACCCATCACCTCTGAAACACTTGTTGAAATGTTTTCATTTGGAGTGCTACATAACATATTTGTTTTTAGATATCTTAAGTTGTTTCATTAAATTTTTAGATGCAAAGTTATGTTTAAGTCATACACAGTCATGTTTGCAAACATTTTTCATTTCAGTCTTTACTGCCTGTTTTGGAACACAACGCCACCCTGATGTAGGGTAAAAAATATCAGAAAGGTATTACTAGTAGTTATTGACAGAGTTAATCAATACAAGTAATTGAAACACAGATTAAGTGAACATGGATATTTTTGTTGTCATTTTTATGTGAAACACCTTTGAAAGTTTTTCCATAACTTTCTAGTGGTATTATTACAGAAAACATCATAAAAAAGTCTTTGTATGGAAACGATTATCTAAAAAAGAAACCTTAATTTAGATCAATGGTTTACTTGCAATACTGGTCAACGCAAATAAATTTGTCGATATCTGTATTTATTGAAACGGAAAAATTGTAAATTAGATCAATCACATTTTAGTGATGTAAGGGAGCTGCCATTTGATTTTTATGCGGGGGCTGGGATGAAAAATTTTGTCCTGCAATTATTTTAAATGTAATCTCTGTCCTGCCTTTTTATTTTTCACTCTATTCGGTCCTGCCTTTTTTTTTTTTTTTAGTTTATCCTGACTTTTTTTTTACATAAATTGTCATCCTGCCTTTTTTTTTACTCCAACCTCCTGTCCTATAGATATAAGAAGATGTGGTATGAGTGCCAATGAGTGCGTAACAACAGTTAAAGCTACAAGCCTTTTTACTAGTCGTTAAGATAAATTCGTTACATAGTGTGCTAGTGACGTAATACGGTATATATGGGGTCAGTAAATTCCATATGGGGATTCGAGCTCCGCTCTCACCCCATATGGAATTTGCTGACCCCATATATACCGTATTAGGTCACTAGCACACTATGTAACTAATAATATTTACTTTGTGATTTCTGTCGGAATGTCTGCCTATTTTTTCAAATTTCATTCTATATATGAAATTATATAATTGGAATACACGAAAATGTTAACATCAAATCGTAATCCCAAGGTCTCAAAAAACTAGAGGCTCTAAAGAGCCTGTGTCGTTCACTTTGGTCTATGTGCCAATTCAACAAATGACACTCCCCAACATTGTAGACGAGAATAGAATTCATGACAAAAATCTCGGTTTTATTGATCTTGTATAGCTGATCACTTAGTTTCTTTAGTTTCTCTCTATCTTCTTTAGTTCTTGTTCAAAACACAAAAGACGGTAAAAATATCCTCATTTAAGGACAATCACTCCTGTGAGGAGTGACAGTCTACTACTATATCGGCAAAATTTGACTAGTTAGTAGATCTTGCCTTGCTGAACATTTTTTAAAATTGAGAATGGAAATAGGGAATGTGTCAAAGAGACAACATGAACAAAGAGCAGAAAACAGTCCAAGTCCACCAATGAGTCTATTTATTTTTTTAAATTTTTATCTTATAAGGCAAAACGCAAAACGCAAAATGGTAAAAATCGTCATTAAAGGGCAATAACTCCAATAAGGAGTAGTCGGACAATTTCCTCTATAGTATCTTAATTGTAGATCTTGTCTTGCTGATCTGTTTTGCGTATTTAAGTTTCTATCTATCTATTATAGTTTTTAAGATATAAGACAAATACAAAAAAAATGTTAAAATCGTCATCAAAAGGCAAAAACTCTAATAAGGAGCCGACTGAAAATGTCGACCATGTTTGACCTATTTGTAGAACTTATCTTGCTGATCATTTTGGCATTTTAAAGTTTCTCTCTATCTATTATAGTTTTCAAATTATTTGCAACATTGAAAAAATGGTTAAAGTTGAAATTAAAGGCTAATAACTCCTATAAGAAGT